TGGCGGTCATTCAGCGCTCTTTATTTCTCTCTCTCTGTCTCTCTCTGTCTCTCTGCTCTCGTACTGTCCGTCTGTCTGTCTGTCTGTCTGTCTGTCTGTCTGTCTGTCTGTCTGTCTGTCTCTTTCTCTTTCTTTCTCTCTCTCCCTCTCTCTCTCTCTCTCACACACACACACACATACACACACACCCGCATGCGCGCGCGCGCATACACACACACACACACACACACACACACACACACACACATACACATTATCCTTATTTGACAGGAAGTTCCCCTCTCACCTCACCAAGACGAATTACAATTCAAAACATCAACATAACGCCTGGAAAAGCAGGAGCTTAACCCTCCCAGTGCATCCAGGTAACTCTCTTGATGAACACGTCTATTGGACAAGATAACAACGATGGCAACAGAATACTCGAAACGCATCAATCATCTATTTTCCTGTATTCATCTAAGACAAATTACCCTTAATTGAAACTGCTTGGCACTAAAACGTATATACTCTATGTGCACCGCAGGTGCATTAAAATCACCTTCACCCCTGTTAGAAAATACCACCTTCCAAATCCCCCTAGGAAAGCACCTGATGTGGACGGTAAAACGATCAAGTCGCTTACGCCTTGGTATCTGTATTTATTTTCACACGATCTGTTTTGATAGCTGCGATGCTCAGTTGTCCTATCATTATCGATACTAAATCTCGATTTTACGACAAACATGCTCAAATAAAAATGTCGTCTCCTCAAAGAAAGTTTAGTGCCCCTATTCTATCCATCAACTCAATCCCAATGCAATAAAAGCGAAGTTTACAGCGATTTACCTACACCATAGCTGGACACACACGTTGAAGACAAGCGATGGAAGATTTATATACAAATAAGATGTAGAACCATACAAAAGAAGGCAGAAGTTTTCTTTTTAAAGTACTTTTTCAAAAAAATATTGTTCCCTCCTTTTTATCGAGGGAATTTTGGCGGTGCGCTGGGTGGGGTTCGGGGGGAAAGGGGTGTGTCGGGGGGCGGTTGGCTTTGGTTTGTTTGTTTGTTTGATTTTGTTTTTGTTGTTTGTGTTGTTTTTTATACAGGCTTTGGTCCCGTCGGCACATTTAAGATCATCTATAAGGCGGGCTTCGCCCCAGCATGTCAGGGCCAACCCGAGCTGAAACAGCAAGGACAGTGATACTCTTTTTTTTATAAGTGTTTTACGGCGCTCGCAACTGCCTACGGTGACATGAGTGCGCGGGACACGTTAAACATTTCTTGTTGGAAGAAAATACAAAGAGTCTAAATTCGTCAAAACACATGAGTGAATGAGACTAGGACCAATAAATTATCGATGCACATCTTAAAAATCTACAACAGGCATGATTGATAATTTCTTTGTTGTTGTGTTTTTGCGAGATTTTGTCATTGTTCTTCTTCTTCTTCTTCTTCTTCTTCTTCTTCTTCTTCTTCTTCTTCTTCTTCTTCTTCTTCTTCTTCTTCTTCTTCTTCTTCTTCTTCC